TTACTCACCAAGCAAAACACCCTAGGTTAACCAAGCTGACATTTCTCCTTTATGTTGCAATTTAGAAAACAGAATACATGCAGCACTTCACCTGACTAACCCAAACTGAAAAGACTTAGTGCTGACATCTCTCTCTGCACAGAAAGATCCACTGTTTACATAGCTCTGGTTCCAACCTTTGAACCGCTGGTCAGCCTCTATGTCGCAACCACACTGTTGCTGATGTCAGCCCAGCAAGGCTTTGGGCACTCTAGGGGAGCAGCGCTCAGCACCTGCCAGAGGAGTTTTTTCCATCAGCATTTAAGAGGTTTAATGATATGCTGGGAGAGGGGAGATTTATGCACTTCTGAGGAGGGGTTATGCATTTCTTTCCCGTCGTGGATACTGATTTGTATTCAGCACAGCACGGGAATTTATGGAAGGAGGGAATCAATGTTTTATTGATATCTAAAAAAACCTACATGATGGATGTGCTAATTACACATTTTTCTCCCGGACTCCCTTTATTCTACACAAACAAACGGCCCTGCTGCTATAACAAATGCAGGTAAAATGTGTAGCAGAGCCAAACTCTGTGGAGGGGATGTATGTGAGGCAGACCTTGCTGGTACCAGAGCGGAGACCTCAGTCCTTTGTTTAGCTTCTTCCCTGGCCAGTATCGAATTTTGGTCTCCTGTTGCCTGTGACTCCATTTCCATTTCATGGAAATCACGTCCCTTGTCAGGGACAGGGGGGCATGGCCCTCAGAGCCACGCCGTGGGTTCCCGGCTGCTATGGCAGTTACTGATTCCCAAAAATACCGAGCAGGACGTGCGTGTGCTGTGCCTTGCTAAGAGGGGACATGCAGGGGGAAAAACAAGCAGGGGTTTTTTTATCTCTCTGCTGAAACAGTGAGTGTACAGGGGAGAGGGACAGCGGTCAGTGGTCATCTCCCCTTCTCCCCGTCTCTCTCTCCTACTGCAGGAGTGAAGGAGAGCCAAGTGCTTTGATATGTGCAGCAATACATGTAAAAAATCCATATTCCAGATGGAAATCACAGCTCAAGACAGGCAAACACTGCCCTGTCTCTGTCTGACAAGCCTGAGCCCCGTGCAAGCCTTCCTCCTGTGCTCCAGGCAGGGAAGGATGGTGGCTCTGCTCAGTGCAGGGAGGGTCTGTGCTCTGGGGTCTGCTTTCTGCACGGGGGATGTGGGATTTGGGGAGCCACCAGAGCAGGGAAAGGACCTCCTGGGTGCAGCACTCAGAACTGATACCAGAAGTGGTAGAAGCACAGAAGAGGGGGTAGGATTAAACACAGAGCCCAACGTGTCGCCCCAAAGCGCTGCCTGATGGAAACTGGCAGCACAGCTTGGGTGTTCCCAGTGAGGGCTTTGTGATCTTAGGGGCCAGGGGAAAAGCTCCACGAGGATGTTTGGCAAAGGCAAAGGCTCAGTTAGGAGTGAGTCCCTCTCAGTCTCTCCCATGCCTTGGCACAAGGATGGTGGGAGGCACGATGAGAAGGAGGCTTCTCCCCCTGGGATGTGGGGCCAAGGGGCAAATCTCAAAAGTGGTGAGTGAGACGAAGAAAACGAGGAGCAGAAAGAGGACATATGCAATGGGTAGCCTGGAGGAGCTCAGGAGACTGAAGGGGATGTTTATTAACCAGAGGAGCAACTCTGCCTGCAGCAGAGGGGACATATGCTGCGTCGAGATGTGATGGGGGCTGTGCCACAGGATGAGAGTGTGCCTGGGGCTCCCCCTGCTCCCTGTGCCCCTCACCCTCAGGAGGCACACACATCCTCAGCTTGTTCCTCCTCCAAAGACAGGTGTCTCCCATGTGGCTACAAAAAAACCAGCTTTTAATTGCCTCTTTCTCTTTTTGTTGTGGGGCCAAAAAAAAAAAAAAAAAAAAAAGGTAATCACAGCCTAGCTCACAGAGATCCCTTCAGATGTTGCTTTCAGGCTGGCCGAGGTCTGCAAGGTCTGCACAGGGACAATGACAGGTCTCCAGGCTGACCAGCAGGATGGATATGATAATTATGCAGGGATATTTTTTCCCTGCTTGGCACTGCTGGTCACAGCCTGTTATTGCGTCTCTGCAATCCCAGCATGGGACTCAGAGCTGACTTGCACATGAAGCCTGTGCAAGGGCCCTGCATTATTTTCTTTAATGCTTAGTGCCTGTAATGCCTCTGGTTTTGTGTGCTCTGCAGCCCCAGGGCTGGAAGAATGGGCTGAGTTTGGCCCAGCTCATACTGGGGCTCTCCCAGTTTGCAAGGTGTGGCTGGTGCACGCAGAACAAGGATATCAGCACTGGCGTCCCCCAAGCCCCCATCCTGCTCTCTCCCGGGCTGCTGGGGACCAGCAGCTACATAAACATCATCTCACAGAGCTGGTGCAGTGTGTCTGAGCCCAGCATCCCCATCCTCAGTGTTTCCATGCCAGGCTCCTGAAACCGCCGTGGGCACCCTGCATCAAACCTGCTCCCAACACCTGCCAAAGCGAGGGGGTGGAGGAAGGATCAGGTCCTCGGTGCTGTCGCTCTTTTGAAAAAAAAAAAAAAAAAAAAAAAAAGGCAAGGAAAAAGTGAGAGAGAGCTGGTAAGAGCTGCGAGTGCTCTAGAGGAGAGATCCAGCAGCAAGGCGACGAGGCCTCTCTCACCATGGAGACGCGTGCGGAGGGCTGTGCGCTCCAGTTCATTCGCTGCAAGGACCTTTCCCAAGCTATTCAAAGGGGATTTCTCCCCCCGCCAGCCTGCCCGGGCTGCCTGCTGAACGCCGGAGGGCTGGGACCCGGGCTGTGCCTCCCCTCGGCGAGCGGGGGTGGTCGGGGTGATTCCGGCAGCTGGATGGAGCCTCACGGCTTGTGGTGGGGAGAGGCGGGAGGAGGAGTTTGCTGTAAATATTGCTGTCGGTTTATGAGGCTGGGTGCTAATCAGTTATAGATAGATAAAAAGGTAGATAGACAGATAGAGACATATTTTTTATTTGCAAGTGGCACAGCCAAGTTGTTTTTCCCCCTGCCCAGTTCAAACCTGGGCTTCATTTCCACTGTATACAGGCAAGCAGGCTGTGGAGGGCAGAGACCCACTCGCAGGATACACTTTGTCCCCTCAAGCAGGCAGCCACGGGCAGAGCAAGTGCTTGCAGGCACATTTCTGGCTGCAGCACAGCCAAACCGATCTCTGCTCTGGTGCTGAGCAGATACTGGGACCCCACTGACCCACTCAGTCTGGGATATAGGGGTCCCCTCCTGCCCTGTGCAGGACTGTGGTGTCGCTACACTCCTGTGGTTGGATCCCAACTCCCTACTTGTGTGCACAGCCCAGGGACAGGCATGGCTTGGTGGCCCAGTGGGAGAGTGGTGGCAGCCCTGCATGCCCAGCGCTCCAGTGATCACAGAATTACAGAATATTCTGATTTGGAAGGCACCCACGAGGATCATCAAGTCCAGCTCCTGGCCCTGCACAGGACAGCCCTGGGGATCACACCACGTCCCTGAGAGCGTTGTCCAAACGTTTCTTGAGCTCTATCAGGCGTGGGGCCGTGATCACTTCCCTGGGGAGCCTGTTCAGTGTCCAACCATTCTCTGGGTGAAAAATCTTTCCCTAAGATCCAACCTGACCTCTCCCCTGGCACAGCTTCATGCTCTTCCCTCAAGTCCTATCACTGTGATGCTCCAGCTTGCTGCTCTGGATGTTCTGTGGCTCTTTTCACACTAAGTAAAACCTCCAGCACTCAGTGAGGCTGTGAAGAGAGTTAAGAGGATAAAAGCCATCTTATTCCTGTAACCGATGGAAGGTCTTTTTTTAACACAGCTCCCGCATTTCCCCCTGCAAGTCCCCCGCCCCGCTCCCGCCGGGACCGTCCCGGCGCGGCCCGCGAGTGCCCTCCAGCGGCCCCGGGAGGAGGAGGAAGAGGAGGAGGAAGAGGAGAGATGCTCTGCTATGGTGAGACCCCACCTGAAATGCTGCGCCCAGCTCTGGTGCCCCCGAGATAAAAAGGACACATGGAACTGCTGGAGCGAGTCCAGAGAAGGGCCATGAAGTTGATAAGGAGACTGGAGCACCTCCCCTGTAGAGAGCTGGGGGTGTTCAGCCTGGAGAAGAAAAGGTTGCATGGAGACCTCACAGCACCTTGCAGTGTCTGAAGAGGCTACAGAGAAGCTGGGGAGGGAATCTTCATCGGGAACTGTAGTGATAGGGTAGGGGGGAATGGGTACGAATGCAAAGAGGGGAAATTTAATTTAGATATTAGGAAGTTTTTTACCGTGAGGGTAGTGAGACACTGGCACAGGTTGTGTGGATGCCCCAGCCTCGGCAGCGTTCAAAGCCAGGTTGGATAAAGCCTTGAGCAACCTGGTGTGGTGGGAGGTGTCCCTGCCCATGGCAGGGGGGTTTGGGACTAGATGAGCTTTAAGGTCCATTCCAACCCCTTTAACATTCTATCGTTTTAGGATTTGGCTTGTACCAGCCACAGTGTGGCCAGCAGGACCAGAACAGTGACTGCCCCCTGTGCTGGGCACTAGTGGGGTCAGTTCTGCGCTCCTCAATTCGGGAAGGACATGGAGATGCTGGAGTGGATCCAGAGCTGGAGAAGGGTCTGGAGCCCAAGTCCGATGAGGAGCAGCTGAGGGAGCTGGGAGTGCTCAGCCTGGGGAAAAGAAGGCTCGGGGGGACCTTCTCACTCTCTACAACCACCTGAGAGGAGGTTGTAGTGAGCTGAGTATCTACCTGTTCTCCCAGGTAACAAGCCACAGGATGAGAGGAAGCGGCCTCAACTTACGCCAGGGGAGGCTTAGATTGGATATCAGGAAATCATTTTTTTTTTTTTTTTTCTAAAGGAAAGAGTTGTCAGTCATTGGAACAGGCTGCCCAGGGCAGCGGTGGGGTCAGCACCCCTGTAAGTGTTCAAAAACCGCCTGGGGACGCTGTTTAACGGCGGAACGCTGGGTGCGCGGGCGCGCGTTTCCCGCGGTCGGCGCGGGGGCGCGTACCGAGGCGCGCAGGGGGGGCCGGTTTAGCGGGCGGACCGGCGCGGGCGCGGGCCGCCATGGCGTCGCCCCCGCTGTCGGCGGCGGGCGGGAGCGGCGCCGAGCACAGCTCGGGCTCCGAGGCGGCGCCGCCGCCGCCGCCGGGCCGAGACCTGCCCGCGCTCTTCGAGCAGGCGGCCGAGCGGCTGCCCGCGCTGCTGCCCGCCGCCAGCAAGGAGCAGCTGCTCTACCTGTACGCCCGCTACAAGCAGGTGAGGCGGGACCGGCCCGCCCGCGGTACGAGAAGGGGCTGCGGCGGGGGCGAGGGCGGGGCCCCAGGGGCTGGGCACGGGGCTTTCTCGGGGCCACGGGGCTGCCGCCGAACCGCGGCGGTGTCAAGGGGAGAGTTGTGTCCCGCGTCTGTCCCCCCGGCTGCGTGTGCGGTGGCACAGGGATGGAGCCCGGTGGGAAAGGGATGGAGCCCGGTGGGACACAGCCCCGTGCGGTTCGGGCGAGAGTGGTTGGGAAGTGTCCCAGCAGCGGGAAAGGACCTGCGGGTGCTGGTCGTGCCCCGGTGGCCCAGAAGGCCAAGGGCATCCTGGCCTGTGTCCGCGATGATGTGGCCACCGGGGCAGTGCCTGCCACCCTGTGCCGGACACTGGTGAGGCTACACCTCGAATTCCGGCATCAGTTTTGGGCTTCTCGACTCAGGAAGGACATTGAGGTGCTGCAGCAAGTCCAGAGAAGGGAATGGACCTGGGGAAGGGTCTGGAGTGCATGTCCTGTGAGGAGCAACCAAGGGAATTGGAGGGGCTCAGCCTGCAGAAAAGGAGGCTTGGGGGGACCTTCTCGTTCTCTACAAATCCATCGGTTGGAGGGACATTGGAGCCAGGTGGGGGTCAGGCTCTTCTTCCAGGTAACAAGCCAAGAGGAAATGGCCTTCACCTGTGCTAGGGGAGGTTCAGGTGGGACATCAAGGAGAATTTCATCGTGAAAGGGTTGTTAGCCATTGGAATGGGTTGCCCAGAGAGGTGGTGGAGTCACCAACCCTGGAAGTGTTCAAAAAAAACAAGTAGACACTGCACTTCACCATACTGTTTAGTGGGAATGGTGGTGTTTGGTCAAAGGCTTGACTTGGTCTTAGGGCTCTTTTCCAGCCTTTATGATTCCATGAGATTGGTTCAACTTTGGCAGGCTTCACGGTGGTTTGAAACCGGGTGTTGGTGTGGAGGATTTGGCCATTGTCCTTGGCAGGGATGTGTCATGGGTGGGTTGGTGGCCTATTGGAGTGTCCCTGAGGCTTTGTGGAGGAACTTGGCTGATAATCCCACTGCCTCGCCTGTGTTTTCCCAGCTCCCTGTGTCTGCTGGGAGATGAGGTGCTGGGATGGGATGGAGAAGAAGTGCAGAGCGCCCACCTCCCCATCAGAGACAGTGGGGACCTGCGCTGCTGACCCAGGGTGGGCACTGCAGCTTTGGGGCTCTGCTGTGACCACACAAAGAATGTGCCTGGGAAGATCTGTCAGCGAAAGGGTTTAGAGAGGACTGGGAAACTGAACTGGCTGGTTCTGGTTGTAACCTTGAACAGGAGTCCTTTACCCCTTCAGTCTCTGTGAACTGAGCGAGCTGTAGGAGGCACCCTGTGGGAACGTACACAATGTGACTCCTTCCTGTTACATAAAACAAACAGAGCACGGATTGCAAAGCACTGTAATAATCACTTCACTTGGAGAAGCAGAAAAACTGTAAGCATTGTTACACCTGGAAGATTAAAGAATAAAAGTACAAGTATAGGCTGGATGGGGCTTGGAGCAACCTGGTCTAATGGCAGGGAGTTGGAACTGGGTGGTCTTTAAGGTCCCTTCCAACCCAAACCCGTTCTATGATTCTGTGGCTCCAGTGTGTGGTGAGAGATGCTGCTGCCTGGGCCTGAGAACTGAATCCCACTCGTTTGGATTAATAGTCACAGTTGAGAACGCACATCTTCCCCATATGTTCCTCCCATATGGATTACCTGTGTCCTACTGCTGCCATGTGTAAGTGCTTTCAGTTTTTAGTGCAATATTTAATTATCCTCTAAGCTGGCAGCAACCAGGCTGTGGTTTGTGGAGCAGTAATTATATTAAAAGCAGGCTGGTCACATGAGGTTTTGTTTTCAGATTGTGCTGGCGCTTAAACCAGGCTTCTCTTTCCCTTGTAAGAAAAGGAGAGTTGAAAAAAAAATACTAGGAGAACTTTTAAGAATAATAAGACCATGCCCAGGATGAGATGAAAAGGGTGTTTTTTCCCTTCTGTAATTTTTTTGTCTCTATTTTCAGGAAATTTGCTGTAAATAACCTCTTCTTTTTCGCTCTGTTGCAAATGCTTTGTGACTGTCCTGGGTGGAAATGGGAAGGGATTGCTCACCTGTCAGCTCATGCTTGTCTGCAGACTCCAGAGGGTTTCCTGGTGTCAGACCAATAAGGTGTTCAATGTTAAGAATTACTGAAATCAGGAGATATTTCACCACAGTTTTGATAATAGTCAGAAAAAAGCTGATAATTAGGATTATGTCCTAATGTCACTCTATCCCTGGCCAGACAGGATGCAACAGCAAGTGCCTTAATGCTGGTTGGTTTTAGGCTGTGCTTGGCTCCTGGATTTCCAATGCCTTTGGCTTCCCAGCCCAGAAAGGTGCCACCCCTGTTAGAGTGCCGTGAGTGTAGTGCTGGCACTGGGAGAAGTTTGCTAGCACAGCTACTGCAGGATTAAGCCCTGCTAACTTTGAGTTTTGCAGCATTTTGTGCTTTAAATCAAAACGAGGGCGCTCAGTGCAAGTTTTCTGTATTTAATTACAGCAGCCATATCAGGGTGCATAATGAGCTACTGATATATTACCCCCGTGGACGGTGGAATTGCTGGCACACAAAAGGTGCTGACTCAGATCTGTCCACTGCCCATGATTTGGCATCCTTGTCTTTCCTCAGTTTAGTGTTTTGTGACACTAAAGGCTTTGATTTAAGATACAACACCGTCATAAAAGAGGTGACAGTAACAGCTGAGCTCTCTGTTAAAATACTGTATATTATTTATTTCAAACTGTTTGGGTATATAGGCATTTTCCTGCAATTTTATTACCTTTTATTGGAGGCCATTGCAGGGTTTTATTACTTTTCTCTCTGATTTTGTTTATGTGTCAGAGACTTGAAAATAAGGGGATTGCTTAGTTGTCATCTCCAGTGAGGTTTTTAGAAGATGTTGCTGAGTTTACGACTCTGCCCCAGAACAGGAGGAAGAACAGATTAGTCCATAGGGCTCTGGACTGGGACTGATTTTCCTTTTCTTCCTGTACTTTCAGTGTGGCTTCAGGCAAGTCACTTGTCTGTGCCTTGAGTCTGTAGTGGTGAAGTGAAGGGAGGACTTTGCTGTGGTGTTGGGGATGTAAAAACCTGAGGTTCGGAGAGTGCAGTAATGGAGACCAGTGTAGTGGTCATGATTTAGAGAGGGAAAGGAATTCAGAACTTACTGGAAGTGATCAGAGGGTGAAAACTGCCCTGCCAGGAGAAGGGTGTGCCAGTGCCTGCGTAAATGCTGAGAGGTGCTGACAAGCTGCAAAGCCAGCACCACTGGCAAAAGGGGGCTTATGCTGACTCCCGAGTGTAGGCTCGAGAATGTAATCCCATTTTTGCATGGCTTCTTTCAAATATCGTGGATTGTGATGCCACAAACCTGCCCTGAACACAGAAGTTTCTTCCTGCAGCTCCCTGTTGCACAGAATCGTGTGATGGCACTAAGTTGCCCCTTAGTCACCAGGACCCCTTGCCTCCTGTGGTTGGTGTTTGCTTGTCCTTCCTTACACCTAGTTTTTAATCAGGGCTTTCCTGTAGGTTGGGGCAGAGCTTTGGGCAGGAACAGGCAGGAATTGCTGTCTTGCCAAATAAATTCAGCTTATTTGGCTTGTGTACAGCTAGACCTTAGTCCTGCTGTCCACAGAGGTTCTGTTCCTGTTGCTGCTCCTTAGGGAGGCTGCAGATATGATTCACCTTCCAAGATTTACAACCAGGTGAGAGTATTTGGCTGGGATTCCCTGCTGTATAAATATATTAGTAGAAAAATCAGCAAAGAGCCTTTTTACCGCCACCAGGGAGGGGGAACCAGTGGTGAATAGTGATAATCTCAAGTGATAATCTCCAACAGCTGGAGTTGTATGGGGATGGTATACAGCATTAAGTATGTTGTATGTGTACAGCTCAGGAGTACACACATCCCTGAGCATCTCTCTCACTCTGATTGTTGTGACCTTCAGCTCTCAGGTGAAGGCCTCATCCAAGGTTTCCAAATTTCCGTTTTGGCCGCAAATGGAGGTGACTGAAAACACTGCCCATTTGGGTCATCTTTGTACAACTCACGAGAATAATGCCTGCAGAAAGAATACCAGGAAAGTTTTAAATGTATTCTGGCTGTCAGGTTCTTTTAATACAGCTGATGAACTGTAAATGAGGAGAGCTGAGCATCAAGTGACCAGCCAGCACCCCGGAGACCTTCAGTAATTATTTTGTGGGCTTGGAATGAGAAACTTAAAATACTAGTATGGGCTCTTGTCTTTCTGCTGGTTATGGAAAAAAAACAGCTTTTGAGGGCCTCCAGGGAAGCAGCAGGAGGACAGAGTTCTTCACAAAATTTTTTCCAGTTTGTCATCATTGGCATGTTTAGCTAAAAATCCCCTTCCTCAGCTGTCAGTCTCAGGTCCCCTGAAATGTTAAAATTCCCGGTTGGTTTCTCACGGCAAAAAACAGGGGAGCCAAAATCTTTATTTCATTCTTTCCAACAAAACCACTGCAAGCCTTTTTAATACATCTTAAAATAGCAAACAGGGCAAAAGTGCACTTCCCCCCCCCCCCCCTTGATGGATGAAATTTAACTACTGTTCCTTGATTTGTATTACTATCGATGTTACTAACTGTCTTCCCCGACGCTGGAACAGCCTTTGAATGCCAAATCTCAAGAGAGGAAACTGCTGTCGTGTTTTGATGATGGCAGTGGAAAATTAATATTAAAACAGACTATTTTTTTTTTTTTATCCATCTTGGCCAATTTTTGCGGGTCGGCTGTTGAACTAAAGAATTGCCAAGCAGGCATTTTCCATACAGATAATGAATTTGCATTTTATTCCCCTGTTTTGCTCTTTTAAAACAAGTAGTCCAATCCACCCCTGAGCACAGAAGAAAACATTTGGATTATATGAATTGTGAGTGATTTATAGGAGTTAACTGTTGCTAGCCTGTTCTCCTGTTTCTCCATGAAATGCGATACGTTGTTTTAAGGGCCAGCTAAGATGTTCTAATTTGGATGAATTGCTCACTGGGAGACAGTCAGATGTACAGAAAATTAATTTCAGTTACAGTCACTCATATCCTCTAACGCTTTCAACGAAAACACAGTGTAGCTAATATATATCTCTCAGCACGGGCATGCTCTCTTTAAAGCCTGATTAATGATTCCATCCTCAGCATAAAATCCCCACCCTGTTAAGGTGAAGAATTGTTAGTTGATTTAAGCACTTCACCTGCCTGAACACTTGAGCATATTTCATAAAACATTTGCTGAATGCAGTTTGGTTTTGCTTGGCTAACAAAACGTCCATCCAGCAGCCTTTGCTCACCTCCAGGATGTGCCTGTGTTACCTTTCCCAAGGTACCCAGCTGTGCTGGGTTTTCTTAGTAGGGGATTGTGCTCTGTCTTACAAGGGGCTTGGTGTGATAACTGTTGCATTTGGAGCCATAGTTGTGCTCTGCCTTCTAGTCTTTTGTACATCATCCATGTGGGATATGCAGCACTTCCTTTAAAAAATTAAAAAAAACCAAACCAAGTAACCAAAAAAACCAAAACAAACCCAAAACAAAACAAACCACCAAAACAAACAGCAAAGGAACCAAGAACCAACCCCTGGTTGGTTGTGCGAATTCATTCCCTATCACAATGATATTTTAAGTTCAGGGAGATTCATTTTGCCTGTGACACCTGTGTGCAAGGGCATTTATTTTCTGTGAGGAAGTGGCACTGATAACAGGCAGATCTGGTGAGTGAGTCTTCCCCCATATTCCCTGGCTTTTCCAGGCAGGGACAGAGCCACATTCACTTACACGTTTTCCTGAGCTGACTTCAAGAAAATATCTCTGTTATCAACAAATCTCAGTTTGCTAATTGCTCTGTTCTTGAGGCAGCTGTCAATGCTGGCCACAGGGCAGGAACCTGCTTGTGCTTTGGAGCCCTGGGCAGGTGTATCCTCTGTCAGACCCCTGTGGTCCCCTTTGTGGGGAGCTTACAGAGGACACGTGGCTGCTGGACTTCCCTACAGCCACCCTGTGGAAAACTTGAGAACCCCACTGACACCAAGTCCATTTTACACTGACCATAACATTTTTTTCCCATACATCTGTCCAGCGGTTCTGGCTCGTTCCCTTGCTTCCTTGTGTTTCTTATTTCCCCACACACAGTTTAAATTTTGCCTTGCTTCTGACAGACTGGTTCATCTCTGGCACTCAGGCCTTGACTTGTCTTTCACCCAGTGCTTCCATGCACCCAGGTGCCTCGGAATGAATTCAGAAGCTGCCTGGCATTCCTTTACTCTGAGTTTGTCCCCTTGCCTTCCAGAGGACTTTGAAAATAATTAAACAGAGCCTGCACACTTGAGCTTTGTGCAGAAGCAGGTGAATTTCAGCCTTGATGAATAATCATCTCTGTAGAAACCCTAATCAACAGAATTTTTCTTGATACTGATGGGGGATGAGGCATTTGGCAGGGTAATAAACATAACATTAGTGAGAAATCACTCGCTGGTTATCCCTGTTGGGTAATGCATGCAAAATAAGTGAGCTGCATAACAGAATTGCTTCCCTTCCATCACACAAAGAAAACACAGGGATGCAAAGGTGCTAAAATGGGGGTAAGATGGGGTTGAGTTGTGTCACTTGTTTCCCCCCCCAAAACCTTTCTTCTGGCCTAATAACAAAATTATCCTGAAACCACGAGAACCCAGAATTTTCCTGGAGCACGTCCCCTTTGCTTTGTTCTAACAGAAGGAAATTTCTTTTCTTCAGGTGAAACTTGGAACCTGTAACACCCCCAAGCCCAGCTTCTTTGATTTTGAGGGAAAGCAGAAATGGTAAGTGGAAATCGTTGTAATTCCAAGCAATTTCTGGCTCTGCTTTTTGTTTGTCGACTATCTGTTGGGGGATTGTGGACCTAGAGGATGTCAACTCAGATAGTCTGCCACTGAACTGGCTTTGAAATCCTTTGTTTAACAGGGAAACGTTTGCTGCTGTGCCTGATGCAGACGTGAAATACAAGACTCCTCTGTTTTACCTTGTTCATCCAGAATTAGCCTGCACTCAACAAAAATGTTGCGTAAATAGCTACGGCTCTGCGGACACAAACTGTGTTCCAGCCTGGTTCAAGAGCCCCTGAAAGATCCTTCCATAGCCAAGTGCTGCAGTGACAGTGGCCATCCATCCATGGCTTCAGAGAAAAGTTGACCATTCCAAACCAAAGGAAAGATGGCTTTGCATCCGCTGAAAGGATTTAGATTAATCTGATCACTGTGTTCCACTGATGACACTCTGCTGTCTCTGAGGGGAACTCACTGATGTCTTTCATTCTCTCCTAGGGAGGCCTGGAAAGCCCTGGGAGATACCAGCCCTCACCAAGCTATGCAGGAGTACATTGCTGCGGTGAAGAAGCTCGACCCCAGCTGGAATCCACAGGTAGGAAACATGAAAACGCCTTTCAGAAAACAAACCGGCGTTTTTTGTCTTTGTAAAGCTGACGATGGCTCGGCTTCACGCAGATTTTTAATTGCTGCGTGGCAAACTTCATTTTGAGCAGATTAAAGTCTAAATTCATTTTAAAAACTCTCCTTTTGTTATGACTGGGATATGAAGAACCATCTCTTTCATTCATAATGATCTTCATCGCAGCGAGCGCATGCACAGGGCTGGTTTGGCTGTAGTGATCTAATTTATTTTGCTCTTATTGGTTCATGCTGTATTTAGCATGGAAAGATACTTTTTATCCTTTTCTCATCTTTCTCTTTTCAACTACGAGTTAAATGTTGATCAATAGAAAGCAATCTCCATGAGAGTTACATGAACTGAATGATCAATTCTAAAAATGTTTCCTTTTTGTTTCGATGCAGCAAATTACCAAATCTGATTATGATTAGGTACTCCAACATAACAAGTCCTGTGTCTGTGTTATAGGGAGACTGTGCTGTCATTTTAATTAATCTCTCTTTCATCTGCCAGGTTTATTACTTGATTAAATCCTTAAGGATATCTCCTGTTTATAGACTGACTTTTATACAATTTTTAAAGAGGATTGCTCTTTAGAAAAAGTATTGCCTTTGGAAATAGAGATATTTCACTAATGGCAAAACGCTGAAGGCACGGTAATTTCTTTTCACGGTAGGGAATTGATTCTTTTTTGATTCTGTGCTTTGGAAGCAAAATCTTGTATGAGCACAAGCCTATGAAACAAGAATTTGATTCTCATTTGTCTTCTGATGCTGTTCTGGAGACTTAAGAGTAATTGTTTCTCCGTCACTAGTTCATGTTTCGTGCCATTCTTACTGTTTTTGCAGGAAAGTGTTGTCATTTAGAGAAAACCCTTTTTAAAGCCCTTGGGGAAAATCGTTTTATATGCTGTACAGTTAGCAAAAGCTCACCTTAGCAGAAAATGTAATTCAAAAGTTAGCGTTAAAGTACAGGTGGCATTGCTTTCTTTACGAGAAGTCACCTGTCCTTCCTACTGCGACTTCCTTTTAGTTCCACTTTGACAGGACCAAAATGCTGTCCGGGGGCCTCTCACTCTGATGTGTCTCATGCCGCTCTGCTCCTGTTTTCTTTCCTTCCCCCTGCTAAATTCCCTTTCTGGAGCCACGAGAGGGAGCTCTGTTCTTTAAAATGATGGAGGTGCGTGTGTCAGGGGATGGAGACAAAACAGCTACTTTAGTCTTCAGATTTCAAATTGGATTTATAGAAAAGATCTGTGGCTGCATTACAAGGTGCTTCATCACTGTCACTGTCTCTCCTTTACATGCTCATCTGCGGGGGTGCCTTTGGATTTTTCTTATGTTCAGTAGATCATGAGCGAAATCCTCCAGTATTTGGTTAAGAGCAGCATAAAGGGCTTGGTACAAATTTGAAAAGTTCATCTTTCAGATCGCTGTGAATCATAAATAGTAGTTACACCACAAAGGTGCTGAATTTCTGATTGTGGAACTTCATGAATTTTGCTGTTGTAAACCCTTCTCAGTATTACCTGCTTATTTTCTCTTCGACAGTTCATCTCGTCCATTAAACTTGTTCTTTTGTGTTATCTCAAATCCTCCTCAGGCTCCTGTTTCATGTATTTGCAAAAAGGGCTTTAATGTCTTGACCCTTTAGTACTAAATATGCAAAATTTTAAACTTAGAAGCAGCTTATATTTTTTGTAGGTTCATTTTTTTTTCCCCAGCACATTTGCTGCTGTTCCGGAGCTTTCAGACTGTCGGTATTTTTGTTAATAAATAGAATGGAACTCAGTGCAGTATTTCTTACGCAGTCCAAATGGATCCACTTCTTCATTCCTTTTTCTTGATTCTCCATTGATTCATTCTTTCTTATTGATCTTGCAGTTTCTATATTAGTACACTTTCTGCATCAGCTGTAACTGCTGTCATTTAGTATCTTTGTTTGGGATGGTGAAAAAACCAAAGTGAAAGGATTCTGATGCAATTGGAGTGCCCTGAGTTTGTGTTCAGAAGCAATGAAAACACCAGTGGCAGCCAAAATCTGATCTGCTGCTTCTGCTGCTGCATGGAGTCTGGAGTTAACTGCACTTCATTAGAAGACAACTGAATGTGGAGAGGCAACAGCACAGCTGTTCTTCACTCTTTGAAGCTGGTATGACACCTTTTACAGTGGAGCCACATCTGTTGGCTCATCTCCATGGCTGTTTCCAGTGTGTTTTAGTTCCTTCTTCACCCTGCACGTTGTCTGATAGTCTTGCCAAGTCTTTTCTTTCAGAGCTTAGTCTGAAGCCTGGAAAGAAATGATCATACTGCATTTATTTTCAGCAATTTTATTTGCTGAGAGATCTTTAAATTAGCAGATAACCAAAAGGATACTGAGGTGAGATTGTCTTTACGTCCATGAATCCACAGGAATCTCCTTGCTATGTCTGTCTTGATCCCAGCAGTGTAGAACCAATAATCCCAATTGGCTTTTTGGGATGCTTTGCACTTAGGCCCTCCTGTGTTGGCATAGTCTTACTGTGTGTCGTGTGGCGTGTTGTTTTGTTCCTGTTCCCAAGAGCAGCTGTTAGCAGGAGGTCAGGAACATTCTTTTCCATGCAGTCTCCATTCTCCTCTTGATGCAGTCTTCCTTCGTCATCTTCTACCTTTTAGCACATCTTTTGTTTCTTGTTCTTGCTTGTGAGTCATTCCTTTCAGTCTGAAGTTCCAGGCAGTGGAAAGGTAATTGCTTGGACCAGCTCAGCTCTATTTGCATATTTCAGAGACATCACCTGTCCTTCAAGTCTATTCACTCTTCCTCCAGAACAGAGAATAATTTATGAAGCCATTCTTTTGCATTCTCTAGCCTTAAACAGAAACATTTCATGTCAATACCTTCCACTGGTTTGGGTCCTTTGGAAAGGAGTATGTGTCCCAGCAGAGTCTGGTGTCATCTTCCTGCTTTACTGGCAGCTTTACTGGTGGCTTTTGCTGGTGTGTGTGAATTAGGTGATGACACTCACCCACCCTCCCTGCCAGGCTCTGCGTGCCCATCCCTCTGACCCACCACAGTGGTTCTGTCCTGCAGCCTTAGCAATGGGCTCAGGGATTTTGGGAATATCACCTTCACAAGCTGGTGTCTTCCATCTTCATGCAGGAGCTGTGTTTTCATGTACATCACTGTATAACTGGATACTTCAGTACAAGTGGCTGTATTTCCATTCCCCAACACGCTCCAGAATTCCAGTCTCTGTTGTGTATTTCATATCACAAATCCCCACTGGCTTCGGTTCAGATTTTTCGAACCTCAGCCAGCCATGGGAGAAGCAGAAGCAGGCCAGGACCTTCCCTCAGCAGCACTGAACACATCCCTTCCACTGAAATCCCATCTCCAGGGCCGTGGCTGGAGGTGTGACACAACACTGCAGTGGGGTGGTCGGGAGCTGTTATTGATCCATTCTTGTTAACGTGGCACGGCTCGAACAATAAAAATAAATAATAAAAAAAGCATCCAGATTTGCTCATCTGTTTTAGCCTTCCATTTGCTGATTGCAGTTTTGGCATCACTTGACTCTAAATATTTCCTTTTCCTATTTCTTATACTGAGCATTTACCAGTTCCAATCTCAGCAGCTTGTCACTACCAACTTCAGTGGCATTCTTTCCCAAACACTTAAGAGGCCTCTTCCTATTTGCTTTGGCTGCTGAAACTCACAGGATGACTTAATGATTTTCTATTTATATATTAAAATTCTAAAAATCGACATTTTAACTTGTTTGTGCCAGGAGAGGGCCCCTGGGGAATACAGTCTCATGAAAAAGAAAACAAACTTCAGAGTAAATAAAATAGCAAATGTGCTATTGCTGCAGGCTTGGAGCAGTCCCTTAAGCTGGAAAACCTGTGGGAATGAACAAATGGATTTGTCCAGTGGGTGTTTTTGCAGGAAGTACTGCAGGGGGCAATATTTGATAAGGTGGTTGGCCAGGTACCCTGTGCCCAGGGCTGGGTTCTGTCCCCCTTTCTCCTGGTGAAATAATGTTTCTCTGCCACGTTTTAAACGCGACAAGCAAGTTGAAACTAAAATGTGCAGAAGGGAATTTGCAATCTGACATAGAGTGAAAAGCAGAATAAACAGTTCCCAGATTTGCAGCACAGCTGAGTTTGTGTGTGTGCTTTTCTTAGGTTGCACCAGGTGTTGCTGAGATATTTTAACAATTGATTTAAATTAATGAGCCTCTTCTATATAAGTAGGATCTCCAAGTGAATTTAGAATTTCTATCATGTAGGATCTCCAAGGGAACTTAAGAATTTCAGTCCTGACTCAAATGCAGACTGCTCTTCCAATGACATTAAAACAAGCATTTGGAAATCCAATCCTAATTTTTCTTAAATTTAGACTCATTGCTCAGGTCTGTCCTGTTCATATCTGGAACAAGAAGCTTTGATCTTTTGCAGCTTACAGGTTTTTATGTGTCTGGTCAACTTCTCTAGGAGTTAGATTAGTGGCTGGTAAATCATACTGTAGTTTCAGTGTGTGTTAGTACTGCAGACCAATGGAATTTCTTCTGGAAATTAAGAAATGCGTCAGAAAAGCTCTTGCCTGTAAACAAAATGAGTGCACCCGTCATGTTTTCCTGATTTGTCTGTCAGTCAAACAGATGTCTCCCGTGATAATCTGTCCCAGCAGCCACCGTTGGTTGTTGGGGAAGAGCAGCAGAGTGGTGTGGGCAGGATTACAAGGGGGATGGGAAGAGCAGGAAGGGTCCTGTTTGGGTCTCTCTCCGCTGTCACCAGCAGCAGCGTGCTCACATACCTGCTTCCTTTGGGTAAATATCTCAATTTATGGCTTGCTGTGCTGCGAGGTCAAAAACTTGGAAAAAAACGGCGACTTTATTTCTTTTGTAGTATAAAAGCAATTTAATTGCATCGTGTAAAGTGGGCGCTAATCGAATTATGGCTGTGCTCCTTAAAGCTTGCTGTCCTGTGCCGTGC